TTTGAGATCGTCATGGTGAAGATATGGTTGGGTAGTGTTGTATGTTCTTTGGACTCCTCTGATGGACCTTGACTACTATCCTGAACTGGCTTTTGTGCTCTTCATTATACAACATTTCATTTTAATGACGCATCAAAACTAAAACCAAAAGGACAGGAATTAGGCTAAAGGGGCACTTAAAGATTCATATTAGGAATCTATTTATAAGTCACTTCTAACTGGCTTTTTGGCTCTATGGTGGCTCACTAAAATAGAGGCCTCTTGAGGACAGAAGTGTGCCTTTCCATATATGTGCATCTGTATGTGTGTGGGTAAATGTGTGTGTTTAGTTTATTCAACATAAAGCAGTCAAGGGAATAAAATGGTGGATTTGTCTTCTCATGGCAGACATACCGCATGTATGGGCGGTCCAATAAAAGTCCTATTGCAAACAAATTTCCCACACCGTGCTTCTCTGTTCATACACAAGTAAATGCAATATACACAATCATATTTAAATGAAGGCGAGAAGACAAGGAGTGGAGGAGACGGATGGCTCGGGGGCTTTGGAAGGGGGGTTGATTTACATGCTCTGTCAATTCCCTGTTGCTGGCCAGCATGCATTATTCATCTATTTTATTGACTGCTGGGGAATTCTATTAGCTGATAGAGTGATACTGGCAAGAACAAAAGATGACTGTCCTTTTCACGAGTGTCATCAGGGCCAGCCATAGGTCCATCTATCTGTCCATACAGACACCTGGGGATGCTGTCCAAGACACACTAAGATTGTTGCTAAGATCGTAAAACACGTTGACTGAACAGCTTCAAGTGCAACATATTCAGTCCTGGTGTTGCCATGCTTTAGTTAGAATAAATAGTGAGCTTTGTGTCCTTGGCAACAGACTTTCTGAGTCTTAAAACGAATTTGAGGCGAGGATGAGAACACGGGTGAATACATAAACAGCATGTTACAGGAGAATAAGCCACAAGCAATGGTGTAATTGATAATGCAATATTAATCTTTCCTGCAAGACACTGTGTGGGGATACCTCAGCTGAATAATTTCAAATCAGTGTGCATATTAAAGTAGATAGTCTGAGTAGGATTTCAGAAATCTCTATGAACAACTATATAAATATCAGGCCCAAATGGAGCAACAAACTACTTGGTCATACTCTGCATTACACCAAAAACATAGATTCATCTTCATTATTAAACTTAATGGTTTTTGGATTATTTCTGTATGGCTTTATTTGTGGGATCATTCCGTACAATATGATATTTTCTTTATTAATTTCATAATATGATATTGATAATGGTGCTGTTAGTTTGCAATTGGGATTTGTGGATTTCAATTTTACTCGTTGTTCTGCACAACTTCCCGTGAGTTGTTTTGAAGTGTGCTGTGGTAAATCAATTTGTGAACCTTTATCAAAATCAGTTTTTCGTCCCGTGCAAGCTGCAGCTAAGATACGCCATGATGTCCAGACCAAACAACTAGCATATCAGAATTCAGATACCTCTCTTTTGGGAAAGAAGTACCAGTATATGATGTAAGCACTCAACAGGCTTACTATAAAGGCAGACAAACAACTGAGAACTCAGGCACTCCTATGTTAAAAAGCGTAATCATGGCAAAGCAAAAGAGATTTTTTTTTTTTATACTTTGTCAGTCAAATTGGACAATTTCAGTATTTTGATCATGTACAGTACACTTCCTTTGGATGGGCCTACAATATCTGTATAATGGTGTACAATTACACCATTAGTACTACAATTAGTACCATTTGGAATCGCTAGGTCATAATTTTAAGATTTCTTAGGTGTTAAAAAACCTACAGCTGATGAAGAAAGTCAACAGAGAGCACTAAAAGAAGCAGCGCAGTGGAAGCTGATGTGTGCAGTAAGAGACCAGCCGTGTAGGTGTGTGAGAACTAAGAGAGTGTGAAGTGGGCAGAATAAACCCGAAAAGAAATATGGATTAACCGAATAGAAATATGGTAATGTATTCTTTCAAATGATTACACTCAAGAAAAATACCCCAGGGTCGGATCTGATAAAAGAAGTCTGTCTCTGCAAAGTCTCATCAGGAAGTTTTGACTACAGCCTCCTTATATGCACAGCCACCAACTCAGAAGTCAAAAGACATGAAAGAAATAAAAAAACTTTTCAATGATACAGTAACACAGCAGAGAGATGAATTTCTCTTTAACTCAGAGTAAGACAACCACCTGTTGAAAAATTCAATTTCAGGTCCTTGCTCTCTTTCACCATCTGTCAATGCCGACATCAAAGAGTTTTATAGAAGCTGTAAATCCTACATGGCAATGTGGACAGATGATACATAAAAAAACAGCAATGTCTGCTTTTTGGCAGGTTATGAATAACATACTAATGAGTCTATTCAAAGACTTAAGACAGAAATCCAACTAAAACCAAATCCTCTTTATGGCACATTTTGAACAGACTTTTGAAGGAATCAAATGCGTCTTTTTTTAAGGGATCCCAAAGTGCTTCTTGAGAGTGAGTCAGCAAGTACAACGGCTAAAAAAATGATTACTTCCAGACATCCCAGAATCAGCATTCTCTAAAAATACCAAAAACAGCGTTCCATCATGTTGCACATTTTTTTGAATCAATTACATTATCTGAAGCTCAGGATAAGCTGGCGCTCTGCTATTTTGAAAACAGGCTGAGAGAAACAGAAAAGTAATACAAAACATGACCAAGTGGAAGCATCGGCAGCAGAAGCTCCATGTGATAATCCCCCGCTGTCAGTGAGTCACCCTGCTTGCAATTGATAGCTTTGACACATCTTCATAAACTTTCATCTCATGTCTACACTTTCAAGGCCGTTTGCAATGTGCACCAAAGACCAATTAGACTCTCTTTGCAGATCCCTCTTTCCCTCTCCTTTACACCACATGCCACACCAGTTTTTAATTGACAGCTGCTCTTCTATCTAGCATGTAATGCCTAAGAGGGACAGGAGACTCTCAAGGAGAAAAAAGAAAGTTCCACTGCGCTTCTTTTTAATCGTCAATGTCGAATTGAAATCAAAGGAATAGCCTCACTAATGTATTCGCCACACAATCCTTTTTGCTCTGAAGGCATGGGGGTCCACTCCAATATTGCAGAGAGACTTCCCTGGTTGTTCAGAGTTTGCTTGCTAATTACAGACGCAGACACCCTAGGGGGAGTGTGTGCGCAGGCTGGATGGGGTTTTGTAATTAATACAAGGTGGATTAATCAGTTCCTTTTTAGCCAGCTCCCATTGGAGGTCACATGTACTCACGGACAATTCCATAGGTGTTTAAAACATTAAACTTGAAATTTGACGCCGTGCTTGGCTAATTGTTGGAAAGTTTAATGATATTCTAGCTCACACCACATTGGAGCCTTGTGGTTACCATTGTAATGGCCTTACATTTAATTTGAATGAATGCAGAAATCCCGTTCTGGGGCTGGGTTTAAAGGAATTAGCCACATTTCAGCTATTTTCTGCTGACCACACAAGCTGCCGAGGTATTATTCTGCAGGACCTGTACACGGAGGTTAGGTAAACAAAGTGCAATTTTAATAGGGGAGAATCAAACTTCCCATGTCTAAAGCACTTCCCTCTGAGGGATTTGAGCCGCCCTCCCTGAGCTAATGAGAGCCAAAGGAGTTGGAGCACAGGCGCTGTGACACACAGTCTCGGCTCTTAATTTGTGAACTTCCCCTCAGCTGCCAACCCCGAAGCCTCCTCTCCCAGCTGAAGTGGCTCCGCTGGCACGTTCAGGTCCCACTCCTGGGGCTCTCTAGGTAGCAGTGGCAGAATGGCATTAACACCTCTGGGAGCAAGTTCCAAAACTAACAAGATAGCTTTTGGATACCAGAGGCAGCAAGAACGTAAAGAGAAGTACATCGTGGTCTGTGTTGCTTTTTAAAAAGGTAGGCATGTGAAAGAGCCGAGGAATGCCGAGCACAGTAAGGTAATAAGGTTGATTTTAAAGAAGGGCTTAATTAAAGAAAAATACACCAGCTTATACACCAGAGAGTCAAGAAAGAAGCCCCAAGAAAACCCTGTGACATTTAAAGGTATGGTTTGGATGTTTTAAGTGGTTTTGCAAGAGTTACTTTAGGATAAACCATTTTATTTTTTACAGTAAAGAAGAATGTATCAGTTTGTTATTATAACAGTGTGTCAACTATAGTGGATGGAGAAGCTTGCTGGAGTTACCAAATGCAAGCTAAGCTAAAAACCAGCACATGGACAAGTATAGCAGCAAAATGTTCTATAAAAAAATGATACCAGATGATATATTTTGAATATTTTCACTGCTTCACCTCGCCGTCAGAAAGCCCTTTCCTTTGGCACTACATTTCTCTTAACTGTAAAACATCTACCGGTATGTTTCTATGCATGCTGCAAACACATTAGCTGTTCAGATCAGACAGTACTGTAGCAATTAACACTGAATCCAAACATATCTTTCAAGGGTATCGAAGAAGATGCATACTTTGAAAACTTTCTACCTGCATCCACCGTTGACCTAACTTTACTGTGTCTGTCTTAGTCACTCATTTGTGTCTTCTTGTTTTTGTTCCATAAACTGCTGACCTGAGCAGCTGGCCCTCAGAGTTTTTGGTGCAGGGCATATGTAGGGATATAAAAGTCTTACAGCTGAGGTATACATAGTGCCGAAAGAAAAGGTCTGCCTGACGACCATGTAAGGCAGTTAAAATGTTTGAAATATAGCATACACTTGTTTTTGTATTATATACACATACGAGTAAAAGCAAACTTATTCTGCTAACTCTTGTAAAGCTACATGCATAAATTGGTTCCCTTGTTCATACTCTAGCCAGCTTATGCAAACAGAGATCCTGCTTACCTGTATATACACCAAGTAATACACTGACTCTTAAAAAGTACCTTAAACAACCACTTCTGAATTGCCTTTAGAGCCTCTTTCACTCTGAATTGGATCTAAACGTGGTAAATTAAAAATTTCTGCCAGATTTCATGCTCATACCTTTCTTCTACCAGCTTGTCTCCAAACATCCATCGGACTTGCGGCGCAGGGTAACCGGTGACCACGCAGGGCAGCAGCACGCTGGCGCCCAGCACCTTTGTCACAGAGGCAGGCTGCACCAGGAACTCCAGCTTCCTCTCTTCTCCAGTTTCTTAAGAGGAGAGAGAAAAAAGGTCAGGGTTAAGGGCTGAGGTTAATGTCAGGGTGAGAAAGTAAGGCAGAGCAGGAACCTGCTGAAAAACGGATGTCATCTGTCTTAGAAACTTCAAAAGAACTCGTGTCTGATGAGCGGTTGGTCCTGACATACAAACCAAGAATGTTCAGATGATTAATGTCTGTGTCGATGTCTGTAGCAGCTCTTTGGAAGTTCAAAGTGGTGTAATATAATTCCAGCCGCGACTAACCGAGTGTCGCTTAAAATATATATATGAAGTAGCTAAAAGCATTCTGAGTTTAGTTCAGATCGCAATTCTATAAAACTAAATTCATAATTATAATTACAAAGTAGAAATGTATAAAATTCTTAACACCAAGCTCTTTCAGACGTCCAACATCTCTCTCTGGAAATACCCGTGCTCATTCTCAAACTGATTTGTTTTTACTTCAAAGAGACCAAATAACTATAAATGTATATCTAGCTCTCCAACATCTGGCAGCATCCAAACAAAATGGTTGCCATTTCCTTACCCAGCTTTATGAGTTTTGTCTTCTGCATACTCTCAGCCTGTAGCCCCTCCACCACACATCCTTGGAGGAGATACAGAGATAAAGACCCCCACTGGGGTCTTGTTGAAGTCTGATTTATGACCTCTAATATCTTCTCCGTGCTGCCAGGAGCCTGGTGCTTAACAACTCAGTAAATAAAACTTTCAGAGGGGTGAGACGACACACTGCCACAGTGGAATTCAGCCCCCCCTTTTGAGCGTCGACTGAGTTACTGCGAGCATCACTGATAACCCCAGTGGGAGGTCTACCACTCTTTTAAGCACTGAACCGTCCCCCATCACAGTTAGGCTGATTTCTACATGCTTAAGGACATGAGCAACCCAGAGAGGACACCATGTAGTCCTGTAATCAAATGATGCAATGAGCTATATTTTAATTGTAATTAACTGCACAAGAGGTTCTACAATAGAGGCTCCCACATAATAGTTCTGTAATCAAGGATGTGAACATGTTTGATTAACGGGAACAAATGAGGACAAGCAGAAAAGTGCTCGACTATTAGATAACAATGAAGGAACAGTGTCAAACAAATGTGAAGTTTCACGAGGTATCATTTGTGATTCACACTTGAGCTGCCAGATTACCTGGTAGAATCTGGAGCTGGGCCTCTTCGCTCGCCTTTGACGACCCCACATTTTCCACGAGACAGCGGTATAGGCCTGCATCGGACTCTGAGGCGTTGTTGATCACTAGGGCCCCACTGGGCAGCTGGAGGAGTCTGGTGCTCAGCTCGAGGGGCAGGCGGTCTTTTTCCCACCGGGTGAAAGGCACCAGATCAGAGTTGACCTCACAGGCCATCACCTGGCTGCTCCCCAGATAAGCAGAGGCTGCCGTGGGCTGGCTGGCAAACCTGGGCATCCCTGAAAGACGAACATAAGACAAGGATGTTAAACGGCGCTCAGTGGGAGCAGGAACAGAATTACAGATTTTAGAGGTGGTCGGACATTTCTTTGGGTGCCTTGGATTTTACATGGGAGGATTTCCTGGGGGGGGGGGGGGAATAGCAATTTTGTATATTTGGTGAGAGGTTTCTGCTTTTCCGGCTTGTGTAAAGTGGTTTTGGATCAATCAGGATTTTGCAAAATCTGCATAACAATCTGAAAACTGTTAGTGAAGTTTTGTCCTTTTAAATAAAGTACTGTAATGTAAGCCTAATCTTTAGTTCTATTAAATTCTAAATTTATTCATTTTTCAACACAGTTTGAAGTAAATCACACTTTCATCAAACCACATGGAAAAAAACAAACAGCGGGATACACAGAAGGCAAAGAACGTGTTTTTAAGGTTTTATAATCTTCTGAGCAAAAAGACAAAATCCCATATTGGACAGGACATCCTCCAATACATTTAAGATAGAGTCTCAGGAGTTCAAAATGCCGGGTAAGTTCAACCCCCGCCTCCTGCACAGGCAAAACTCATAAACACATGGACTTGTACAGCACAATCACTTATCCTCAAATGGTGGATGTTAATTTGCCACGCAGAGCAGCAGACACACAGCACTAATTAAAAAAAGGCCGGATCCACAGGCTGTTTGTGCTGCTGTACCCCCACTTTCATCTCAACGCAAAATAATTATTTCCTGCGTTTGAAGCCATTGATCTGAAACCAACACTTGCGGGCCGCATCTGAAACAACTGCACACAATAGCTTCAATTAAAAAGAACTTACAATGTGTAAACTGCAAATAGTATTCTTGGGTTTATTAGCGAAGAGGGAAGGGTTGTTTTTAAAAAAGTAACGAGGCCACTCGGTCTACATTAAAGAGAATATCATGCTGTGTTATTACCATGGAGGGCCTCTTGAGTTTTTGGGCTGACTGTGTTTGTCTCCTTGGAAATGTGTGTGTCAGAGAGACATGACTGGATAAAAATGTGTGTGACTAAGGATGAAAAAACAGACTTGTTTATCTATTTATGAATGCAGCTTTTCCTGCTTTAACTGTGCTTTTTCTCAAGAAAGTGTTGCTGAAACTCGCTGAGTGACTATTGGTGTCTCAGGCCCCCTCTCACCTGCAGACAGCTCTTTAAATGTCCTGCAGAGAGAGGCTCCGGGGTAAATCACACTTAAAGATAAGGCCCAGAACAGCTCCAGACTCTCTCCTGGGCCAACACACACAGCTTCTCTGTGTTTATCTCGGCACAATAGTTCAACTAATATGGGATTAGCTGATTCCAGTTCTGATATTTTTGTATCAAAGCTGTCAATCACCTTCTGTTTAAGCATGCCAGAGTAGGGAAAAACACTCTCTACTGAATCATTTAGATTAGACTTAGTGAAGGCCGTTGATAAGTCGAATACTGTTTTTATGATAAGCAGCTGAACTGCAGGATGTGTAATCAGTCCAGCCAGCGTCAGGGGGAATTCTAGGATATTCATCAGGCTTTCAATAAATATTTTATTTATCAGGACAAATAGAAATAGTTCAAGGGATATTTGTGTATAAGAGAAGCTATATGATGGTGGTGTTGAAAGTAATAATGAATCCTATCAATCTGAATGTAACGATCTTTGATACTGTAAACTGTAGGCTCATGTTTTTTTGTTTTTTTTTATCTTTCTCTTTTTTGGTGATTGCAGAATTAGAATCAGCCTTAAAGGATATGTTTTGGTTAATGTAAAGAGTGTGACTTTGGTTTCACATTGCTCTCACTGTACAAACACAGAAAAAGCCATTCATACTAATTATAACAACAATGAGCTCAAACATAATGTGTAAAGATGTATGGATACAAATTGATGTAAAAAAAATAACTCAATTAAAAGCATATGGATGAATTAAAATCAACAATAACCACAAGATTTTTCAGACAGTGAGACGATGGTGCATTTGCTTAAGAGTGCAAAGATAGCTGAGATAAATATGATAACGTAGGTTTTGTAATGGGTTTTAGCTGTCATCTAAAACAAAAGAAGCACATTATGTAATAATTAATTCATATAGATTGTTCGATTTGTATTTTTAATTTAGTGACTCTTTTACTTTTTCTTTGTACAGCAGGACATTTGGAAAGAATTGACACTCTTGGTAACTTCTTTGTTTTTCAAAGTGGAATATGTCTGATCCCTGGCAAATATAACTGAAAAATAAATATTTCACAAATATGTTTCCTCAAAGCACACTAAACCACTTGCAGTTTTTTAAAGATCAAACAACAAAGCTCTCTGCTTGTTACACAACTGTATTCATATGAAGGAGTCAAACAAAAGGCAACACTAGCGGAATCTGAAATGTTTCACTTTAGACAGACCTCTATACGCACGAATGGAAATCCTTTTGCCCGAGGAGCGATGACATTTCAAAAGATGATGCCCAGAGTTAATGTTCCCTGAGGCCAAATAGCTTAAGATACAACCCCGGCTTAACGTAACGGCCTTAGACTTGACATTTGGCCCGCAAGATGACACAAGAGAGCCTCGAAATTCAGCTGCAGGAATGACTAGAAATTCTGATCCCGCCGAGGCTGAACCTTTACAGAGAGGAGAGAAAACTTTGTCCACTCACAGCTCAAGTTCAGACTGCGGCCAGAAGTTTCTGCCTCAGTCTGCAGTGTCTCTGCTTCCAGCTCTTAATCGACTTAGCCTTTGTTCCTCCAGCCTCATCACATCTCTGAAGGCTGAGTTCATCAGTTCGCTGTGTCTTAAGGGTGTGTGAATGTGTGTGTGCGCGACTTAAGATGTGGCCTTTGTAACAGCCAGCGTTAATGAAATAGATGCTTCTCATTATGAAGTCTCAAATATGCGTGTGTGTTCATTTACGTGAGTTATGCCGTGTAGTCAAAGTGAGCATAAGCACATTAATTGTTGAGTCAGGGCAGGGAGTTGCAGATGGGAAGTGGTGAGTGTCGATGCTAACACCATCGATTCCAATTAATCACAATTCTCCGTTTAAATCGACTGGATGGGAGCTTCATTTTCCAGCCCCTTGCTCAGCACCATCAATTGAAGTGAAGAGCTGTACTGCCAATCTCAACACTTATTACCAGAGTGTGATGAGGCCAAATGATTCCAACAGAGCAATAATGTCTGATCGGTCAAAACACAAAAATGAAGAGAGTTTTATGCTAATGGCAAGCACTCTCTTTATTCATTTCATACAGCATGAATGTGGGCTAAATGTGACTCGGCTGAACGTGTTGTGCCTTTAAACAACATTTTCCTGGAAAATAAAGCTGTTAACCAAGTGGTGGCACCAAATGCCTCCTTTGTGAAGTGTGCAGTGGGATTCACCAGACCCTACATCATCTGCTTGGCTTTACCAGCAGAGCTTGTAATCATGTGAATGCTAATGAATGAATGTGTCCATCACTGGATGGAGATTAGCAGGAAAGAATTGTGCAGCAGAGAGCTACAAACAGGCGGAACGACTGTCTGCTATGCCTCGAGCGTAACACAGTCACGCGCATGCACACGCGCTCAGACATACAGTGAAATCACACAGTTGGGTTCCTACTATTCTTAATTAAAATCAGGTATAGAATAACAATGAGCAGATTAATGGAATATGCAGAAGGCTTTAAGGATCTCCCTCTAGATTCAGCTGAATTAAGAACTGGCTGCAGAAAGGCTTCCTTTCACCTTGGCTCAGAAGTACAACAGAGCTGCTCTATGTTACATATTTTCAAGCAGAGTCAGGATAAGTAATTAAGGAAAAAGAGAGACTGGCTTACATTTTTGGGGTTACCCAGAGGGGTTGTAGCTCCTTATATGGATACAGCCTGACAAAGTGCTGTGTTTGGACTTCTAATGTAAAACCATTTTTCCACTGTGGAAATTTGCGATGTGTAAATCATATTTTCTGTTTTTGTATTCTTCAAGCTATTTAGACTAACTGATTTCACCTACCAGATCAGATTTGACTTGAAAACATCATCTGAATGGGGGCACTTACACACTTTTGTTTGGGAGGGAGCTGCTGCTTCAATTGTTTTGGTTTCCATTAGCATAGAAATGACCTATTTGACTAATTGGGGGCCGATAAAACGGGTACATTTTGCATACAAACATTTTTCCAGCATATTCAATTCAATAATGCAATTTATGTAAATATTCATTGTGACTTCAACTGACTCTGACTAGAAAAGATTCAGAGGCATTATAATATAATATCCATGGATAGCATTACAGTGCAAATGGGTTCTTATTTATCTCTAAAACAAAACACTGTATTCATAAAAAAAGAGGATAAAAAAAAAGGGATACTCTATATGGTAATTCCACAAATGAACACATTTTTACAGCAGCATCTGATAAAAAAAAAAAGAGAAAGAAACCGAAATTGTCAACGCTTTCAGGAAAACCAATTCAAAACTGTGTCTCACAACAGCAGTTTTATTTGAACTATCAATTCTGCAGTTAACACTTTCACTAACTGCAAAAAAAACACCAAACTGTATGCTCAATCATCAAGTTTCAGTAAGAGAGACGGAAACAAAGGGACCAGTGATGCTGGACCAGTGATGCCTACAGGCATTATGGGAGACTGATTAAATCATGCGTACTACAACATATCTTATCTCTTAGCCAATTGATTTCCTTAAACTAAAATGGACTGAATCAGAAACTTGAGCTGGATGACAATAATTGTAGCGTCTGCCCCCTGCTGGCACAACAAATAAGGAGGTGTGAAAGAAATGTTAACGGCAAAATTACGATGTAAAAAAAAAAATATACATACACTTACATTTGAATGAAACTAGGACTAATAATATTTTTTGCAATTTCATTAATTTTGTGATATAAGTTATCTCAGTTTAAACATAAATGTTTGATCGATAGTTAGATAATAGTTACACCAGAAGACATGTGAGGCTAAAATTGGCAACACCAGAAACCTTTTCAACCATTTGAAATAATATCA